GAATTGGTAATATAAACTCTTTTTTGAAGAGTAGAGGTAGACGCAGATTGTTGCGTAATAGGTCTATTATTTGAGACGCTTTGATGGTGAAGAGAAAGGTGAGGTAAAGATAGTTGATTAAGCCTGTTCTAGCTTAGCAATGGGAGTTTCAAGATCAGACATAGCCTTTTGCATGTCCGTAAGCATGCTAAGGATTCTATTTAACTTATCATTTGGTCATGTTATTATTAATATTGGGATTATGAACTGAGTCATCAATCAAAGAACTTGTGGGGCCTTTGTCTTTGGCTTTGCCTTTATCTGTTGCAGGTTTGTTTTCTTCTTTGGGAAGGTGTAACTGTTTATGGTTGGATTGGTGATCATTATATTTCATAATCAAGGATCTAGATCCTGCTGACTTAAAACGAGTGTATAGTTTTTGAACAGAGAGAAGCTTATAAATTGGAGTTTTAGATTGATCGACAGGATCGTCATTTACTGATAGAACGATTTGGAGGCATTTCATGACAATGTGTTTTGAAGAACCACATTTATGACAACATCTCACGTCAGCTGAGCACCATTGGAATTCATTGTTACTGAACGTAAAAGAATATCCGGTCTTATGAATTAAAAATTAGGACAGGAACTGTGATATTTATTTTAGATAGAATTTGTTTGTTTAACAGTATTGTTAAGGTCTGCTTCTGTTTTAGAGTAAAAGACTGCGAAGGGATGAGGTTTATAATTGTTTGAACGAGAAATGTAGAGGGCTTTAGCTTTAGTAGCTAAGGTGATGTCTTGCAGATCTCTAGCGGAAGTGTTGAAGGGTAAATTGGTGAGTCTTATTCTGAAATAATTACGTTATTTAACTTGTTCTGAGGTAAGGCAAGCCGGGTATACTCAGACGTAATCATTGTAGATAAATCGTGACCATTAAGTATAGAAGAGATCGATACTCGTAAGGTCTTCATAAGTGATATAAGCTTGTTGCTAAAGATCTCTGGTGAACATCTGTACAGTGACTATCTTGTCGTATTTAGCAAATATGTTGGTAAGCTGTTCCTTTTTGAGATTAAGATAGATATTGGCGATATGAAGTGTGCGTTGAGAGAACTGCATATTTTCTTTGTAAGTCACATACTGAACCAACTGGTTGATATCCAAATTGGGAAATTTTGCATTAAGGGCTGATTCCATAAATTGCTGATCATTGAAGTAGATCACGATCGATTGAACAAGGTTAACGTAGCAGACGTTAATCTCCTAAACGCGTCATCAAGGGTGAAGTGAGCATTAACAATCTTTGAAATAGTAGCAGTGGGAAGGTCCTTGGGGCTTTTGGGAATAGTTGCTGCACAAGCAAATGGGGTTGAATGAGTAATAACTATGAAGTCTTTGTTTTGATCCATTTCTATATTGGGGTCATCTTCTATGGGGAGGTATTCGTCCTTGTCTAAGATATTGGGAGGAGTAAGAGTCAGTGGTTTGAAAATATTTTTGATAAGAGCAGCGTCTGAAGCTGAGGACGGGTCTAGCTGTTCTCCAGAGCCAGAGGTTGAAGCAACTGGTATCTTGAGAGTTTTTTAGTATTCTATTGGATTGAAACGATGCTTATTTTTCATTGACGCTTGTTTGTTTTGGTTTTTTCTGATCATAGTGAATAGAAGTAACTTTTAAAATAAACTCTTTCCTGGTTGTAAAAGTGTGTTTGAGCTGTTGTAGAACTATAAGACTAACTAATAGAGTCAAAATTATAATAGGACTTTGAAGGTGAACGTTTTTATTTTCTTAGACTTTATTTTTGAAAAGTGATTGACGGGAAAGAGTTCTCCTCAAGATTGTGTTAAAGAATTATTTCTAAAATTAAATTGATATTCTCCAATCTTAAAAGGAAATGCATGAGATAAGCCCTAAATATAACGCATTCTTTGTCTATAATAAATTGTTTGTTAATTAGATTTCTATATTAATAGTCTTAACAATATTATTTCTGCTACTTATATAGGATTAGTTAGTAGGTATTCTTCAATATTAACTAGTTCTCATGATGTGAAATAATTATTCTATAATAAACATGACACTATAACTAATTACAATCATATGATACTTATTTATCACTTATTTTAACTAATTACAATTTAATTTTATTAATGTTATAACTATTTGCAATTTTATAATACTATTTCTTTATTTTATAATATTAAAATATATTTATCTTTTCAAAAATTACATTTTATTAATTAGATAAATAAACTAAAAGTTATTTAACTTTATGTAATCTTTCTTGTAAATTAAAATTAAATATTTTTTAGAATACTTTAATAGTAGAAATATAAATATTTTTGTAATTTTATCTTGTAAGTTTTCAATAAATATTATTATGCAATTATATTTTTTATAATATATTTATAAAGATATTTAATTGAATAAATGCTTGAATATATTTTTATGTTAGTATGATAGATATATTTTTAATATAGATAAGGGTTATAAAAGATAATTTATCTATTATCAATATATACAATTCTTTTTAATTATTTTTCATAATTTATTTTTTTATATATTAGATATTTATACTTATTTAGTATTATTTTTTATAGGATTCAAAATTTTATAAGGTTTATAAATCATATTCCTACTAATAGTTTTATATAAAAATTTTTATTTAAAATCTTTATGCGTATTATTATTTTATTAAAATTTTAAGTTTATTTTTAGATAATAAAATTATTAAAATATGCACATATAACAATCCTTTTTTAAAATTCAATTATATATATATAAGTAATAACTTTTCTTTTATAAAAAGATCATAAAAGATTTCTTTTAATTTTAATTTAACACTTTTATAATATTAGATTAATTATTTAATTGTTAGTTTAGTAAAAATTCTGTTAAAATTTTAGATCAATTGGAATTACAAATAACTGTAATAAATATTTCAAAATTTTTATATTCTTTAATGATTACTATAAAATCTTAATAAATTATTGCATATATTTAATAGATCCAATAAATAAAATAATAAGATTATTTTTTTCTAATCTTATTTTTGTAAAAATCTTTATTTTGTTACATATTTTTATGCTATTTCAAATAATTTGGTTTATTTTTAGTATATTGATCTAATAAATATTACTAAAATAATTTTTTTGTAAGGTGTAATATATTTTTTTATTTTATTAGAATTCATAATTCTCATTTAATATACTACAAATTCTTTAAATTTTTTTCTTTTCTTTTGGTTAATTTCTAATTTTTCATTATCTATATTATCTATATATTTAATTTTCTTCTTTTTATTATTATTATCAAGATTGATAAATTTAACTTTATTATTTTTATTATTAGATGTATACATTTTTATTTGAGATAGATTTTAAATCAAAATTTTTAAATCTTAAATTATTTTAGTATAATTTATATTTTGTATAATTTCTTCATTAAGTTGCATTCTATCTTCAAATTCAAATTCAAATTTAGATTTATATTTAATTTTATTTATTTTTAAAATATTGTTATATTATTTATATTCATTATAAAAGAATAACAAAGGATATTGTAATAAATCATAAGTATAATTTAATTTAGAAATAAGTTTTAATTGTCTTTCATAAGTTTGAATGATAATATTTCGATATTCAAATTAAATGTAATAGTTTTAAAAAAAAATGCAATTTCTAATACTATTAGTTTATTATATTGTTTCATATTCTTATTATATATATTATGAATTATTATTCTCTATTGTAAATTTTTAATTTCTTTTACTTTAGCTTTTGAGATTACAAATTAATCAACAAATAGATTATTCTCTAATAGTTCATCTTATAATATTTTAAGTATTTTAACATTTAAATTTAAAAATACATTTTGTTTTGATTATTTTTATTTGAATCATAAAGTAAATCTAAGTAAATATTGGTTCTTTATTAACATTAAATTATCAATTTGATGATATAACTCTTCTTGAATCTTAAATGTATAAACTCTTTTTTTGATATTTGCAAATTTTTCATTATTTATAACTAAAAATGTATCTGATTGTATATTCTGATTTGAGTTACATAAGATTCATCTAATTCTGAATCATTTTGTATAAATAAATTATACAAAATTTATGAAGCTAAAAGGAAAGGTACTAATACAGCCTGTCCATTTAAATAACAGAATCCTTTTGTCTCATTCTTTTACTTTAAAATGTAATAATATTTACAGATTTTATTCATTTTCTCAAATCTGTATCTATTTTCTTCTTATCATAATTATTAATATTGCATTAATATATTAATTTAATTAATAGTTTTTGGTGTATTTTTTGTTGATGGTGACAAAATAATTTTAACAAACAAAATTAGCAACCCTGGAATTTATTATTAGATTTTTTTAAAACTCAGTAAACTATCTATAAAAAAAAAAATACTATCAATTATAAGATGAAAATTATTAAATAAACTTCAATTAAAGTAATATATAGTAAATCGTAATGTGGTTTTACCCAAAAATCGCTCCAATTTTTTTTTTTGTGACGTTATAAGGCTTTATCTATCTCACATGCTAATGATTTTAAACAATTGGAACTACGTTTTTTGAACAAATATTTGCAAATAAGAACGGTCAAGGCGTATTTGATAAAAAATTTTGTCAGTGCTATAGACAAATAAAGACAGGTATCAGTAAATTACTGAAAAGAAAAAATCTTACGATACTCACCATGATGGTGTGTATCAGATGATTTTATGACATGTAAAATTTTTAAGTAAACTACAGCAGATCGATCCAAAATTAGATAAGTGCCACATATAGCTAGAAATTACGAGAAATTGAGGGAAAAGAACAAATTCTTTGAAAAATGTAGAAGTATCTGGAAATGTAATTAGGTTTATTTTTTAATTTTTTTATAAATAAAGCCATAGAGCAATCTTGGGCGGAAAGCAAGCAAAATACAAAAAAAAATAAAAAATAAAAGATTCTTATAAAACCCAAACTTTTCAACTTTAAAACAAATAAACGTGAAAATGGCTCTTTATTATTGGGATAATGAATTAGAACGATCAGTTAATAGTATCTTTGATAATTTTATTCAAGATTTAAACGTTGCAAGGAGAAGATCCACCCCTCGTAGTGGAGACGTGACAAGAAGAGCTTGGTCTCCTTTAATCGACGTTCATGAAAATGATAAAGAATTTACCGTTCATGCAGAGTTACCAGTATGTTGAATTTTCTTTATTTATATATTTGGATATAAATAATATATAATACTTGTATATTAAGACCAAATTTTTTTGATATTTAGGGACTTAATAAAGATCAAGTTAATGTCGACGTTCGTAACAATGCTCTTGTAATTTCTGGTGAAACTAAACAGGATCAAAAACACGACGAAGGAAATACTCACGTTCAAGAACGTCGTTATGGTTCTTTTACTCGTACAATTTCTTTACCACGAAATTCTAAGGTTGAGGAAATTTCTGCCAAATTTAATCAAGGTCTTCTTGAAGTTATCATTCCAAAAGGAGAGGTTCCATCTGGAAAAAAAATTACCATTGGATAAATTATAAAAAATTTATAGTACATGTATTTTTGAATAAATAGCATTTTCTTTTATTGTCATTTCATACCGTAATGAATAAAATATGAACCGATTCAAGAAATTTGTCTATACTTAACTGTAAAATTTTCCAAGTTTGTCTTTTGGTTGAGCTTTTATTTTCGAAGCGATTAGAATTTTATAGAGAGAACTACAAGCCGAGCTATGTGATTAGAGGCTTAGCTCACGACTTTGCGCAGTGCCAAACTCTTAAATTTCAACTACTGTTATTGGTCAAATTAATTCGATAAGAAAACATGCGTAATGCAGAACACAAACCAGAAGCGGCCCCTTCCATAATAGTGTAAATTGCCCTGCATGCGCTTTTTATCCTTTCGTTTTGTCCAACAGTCTTTGCATTACAATTATTGTAACAGAAAATATAAATGGAAATTGAATTTAATTAAATGACCCTAACTTTCTTTGGAAATCTTCTTCCTTTTGCGAAAAACTGCGCCATAAATATTTGCGTTATTTAAACAAACAATAGTTTTAATTATAATAAAAGGTTGATAAACATGAGAAATTTTTTTTTGAAATAACGGTTCTTACAAATTTTCAAGTTGCTTTGTAGAATCAACTTACCAAGTTGATCTTGGAGTGAAAGTAGTGTAACGAGTAATATGTAAATCGTTATCCTCCATGGTGCAGACCACTTTTACGTCATAAAAACATCATAGCCATTTCGGGTTATAAAATTACTAACGTATGACAAAAAAAAGCTGTCATGATACCACCTGACAATTTTATATTTTTCTTTTAAATATATAATCAAATAACTCGAACTGTTAATTTGCAGAATTCAAAGAATAAATTTATTGGTTGTTTTAAGCTTTCAGGGTAACAGAAGTCTCGTACTTTGTATCAAATCATTATAGTTTTTTTTATTCTCCGAATACTGTTAAAAAAATGACAAAGAAACGGAAAGGAGGAAAACATGAAAATTATGAAGCTGAACAAATTGAAGAACTTCCTACAAAAGTTAATGGGCTTGAAAAGTCACAGGTTAGGTGAAACTTTGATTATTTTTTCGTGACTAGAGTTTACAAGTATAGCATAGATATAAATTAAGTTCGGGTAATGGTAAAGACAGCAAAAGTATTAGGACTAAAAATAAATCACACACAAAATCTCAATAAATCACAATTTGAGTTGATAAATTAATAAATTACCTAATAATGGTCTTTCCTTAAATTTTTTAGGATATCTCAAAAGATGGTTTACTTGCTTCACAACCATCAACAAAAAAATGGAAAAATATGGCAGTTCGATCAATCTGGACATTTGTCATGATATTCGGGTTTTTTGCCATTTTGGCTTTAGGAACTTTATGGGTCATTCTTCTTGTGTGCGTGATTCAAACGCTGGTATATAAAGAAGTGATTGCAATTGCGCACGTACCAAGCAAAGAGAAGAAATTGCCATGGTTCAAGACACTTAATTGGTTAGTTCAAATACATATAACTTTTTGATCAAAAACTGTCACATCGTAATTCGTGCTATGATTATGTACTTTAGAACCCTAAGTCTTTGTTATTAATTATATGTGCGGTAGATCAACGTAAAGTTAATACTTATTATACATTTCGTCAATGTCTTTTTAAAAAAAATATTTTTTAGGTACTTTTTAATCAGCACAAATTACTTCCTTTATGGAGAATCGATAATTTACTATTTCAAAGAAATAGTTTTGGTTGATGCTTTCCTACTTCCTTTTGCAACACATCATCGATTTATTTCATTTACCTTATATTGTATAGGTAAGTTCATAAGAAATGAATCCATTAAGTTGGTGAATTTCGCGTCATTTGATTCGAATTACATTTATAGGGTTCGTGCTCTTTGTCGGAAATCTTAAGAGAGGACATTATAAATTTCAATTCACGCAATTCGCGTGGACGCATATGACACTATTGATTGTTGTATGTCAAAGTCACTTTATCATCAATAATATTTTCGAAGGATTAATTTGGTATTAATTTAATTTCATTAAATCAAACAAAAGAAATGATTTCAATTCTCACGAGTTTTCTAATTTTATTAGGTTCATACTGCCTGTGTCTCTGGTAATATGTAATGACATCTTTGCATATATGTGTGGATTTTTCTGGGGTAAAACACCTTTGATCAAATTGAGTCCCAAGAAGACATGGGAAGGATTCGTAGGTGCCTGGATTTGCACGATAATTTTCGGATTTTTTGTAAGTTCTTTAGTACGTGTATTTTATTTGTCTTTAAGATCATATGTTTATTCTGCTATCTCTTTATTTTAATGCGTTAGTGGTCTTCCTTATTAAGTCGTTGGGATTACATCATCTGTCCTGCTCAGGTAACCTTTCTGAAAACTCTTTAAATTGAATTTCTCTTAATCGTTATATTAATTCACATATTACATTTATTATTTAGGATCTAACAACCACGGCATTTTCGGGAAAATTAACGTGTGCTCCCAATCCAGTGTTTATTCCTCAGAGATATGATTTAAATCCTTGGTTAACTAGTTTATTCAGGCGAATTGTAAGTGAACTTTTCTTAAGATTATGATATATTTTATGGATAAGTTAAATTTAAGTAATGATTTATTTTCAGACATTTGCAGATATCCGATCAGTTGGTATCGCGCCACTCCAGTGGCACGTCTTGGTCATGGCCTGTTTCGCTTCTCTGATCGCACCATTTGGTGGTTTCTTTGCGAGCGGTGTTAAGAGGGCATTCAAGATCAAAGTTAGTCATTAATCATTTTTGTTTATAATTCATGTTATCAACTGATTTTCTTGACAATCTTTTTTTTTTTTTTTTTTTTTTTTTTTTTAGGATTTCGGAGATTCTATTCCTGGACATGGAGGTATCACAGATCGTATGGATTGTCAATTTCTTATGGGGTTGTTTTCACACATGTATTATCAAAGTTTTATCAAGGTTTGTTGTAAATTTAATAACAGTTTGGCTTTTTTTTTTTTTAGTTTTAAATCATTTATTAATTAACGAATTTTGTAATAGACATCATCTTTTACAGTTGGATCAGTTCTTGAAGCAATCATTTCACTTGATACACCAGATCAAATGTATCTTTATGAAAAATTAAAACAATACTTAATAAGTCAAGATTTATTGAAAGAGGATCAAGATTAATAACCCACTTTAATAAATAATGTATAAGGCGGGTCCTTTCAGGTTACATATATATAAAAATTTTTTAATATTGATATTTTTTTTAAAAAAATAATTTGGATATCTATTATCAAAAAAAAAAGCTTAGTTCAGTAATAACATGGTAGTATATATATTAAAAATAACATTGCAAGAACAAAACGAATCATAAATTGTAAAAAATTTTTACTTTTAAAGTGTATAAACTAAATCATTAAAAGTTGTTTGGTCCAATCACGACTATCATTAATTAATCCCATCAAATAAGGAGAATTGCCAAGAACTTGGAAACTAATTTCTTTTAGATTAATGTTATTTTCTTCAAGATTTGCGTCGAATGTGGAAACGGAAGTGCCAGTTGCAATGTCTAACGTTGCACTGAACAAAGTAAGAGCACTCCATAATGTTGTCATGTTCCTACATAATATTCCCAAGGGCACAAGTTATTTTAAGAAATGTCGAGTTGTAATAAAGGAAAAGGTGATAATTTACTCTTTCGGTACCCTAATTACACCAGCATAATTAGAATTTTCTATTTCACCATTCCAATCTAAGATATCTATATGAATTCCCGAACCAATAATTCCGAATGAATCCGTTAATGCATGATTGAATAAAGTCCTTAAAGAAAGTGGAGAAATTGGGGGAAATGGTATAGTTGATGGATCGAAATTTCTGGATAATTTTTTTTTTAAAAAAGATAATTTATTTTAAACAAAAATATTCAAAAAAAAAAAATAAAATAAAATGATTACATCTTTATTTTGAGATAATGCCAAATTGGTGTTGTTATAGTATATTTCGTCAATTTTATTGATTTTTCTCGTTCGTGTTCCATTGATTTGATAAAGCAAGATTTAAATCAAGAATTCCTAAGATTTTGATTATAAAATAGGTTATCAGATTAGATTATTAGTAAAAGTTGGAATGAATTTGTGCAATTTTAAATAAAACAATATAGACAACTAAGAATCAACTTGGATATTCTTTTTCTTATTTTCTACTATATCATTATTCAAAATCGTTATTAAATTTTTTTAAAAATGAACGCTGGAGGTTCTGACCTGTTTGAGTCTTATGAACAAGACTTTAGCCAAGTTGCTAGGTCTATTGAAGTTATAATAAATTCCACCATTCCTTCACAATCTGGAGGTAAATTCAAAAACAAATTTTTAACAGTTCGATACCTCCTTTGAAATGCAGCTGACATAAAAAAATTGTTTTGAGATAGAAAAACGAAAGACTACTATACGAGCCGCCGAGCGTGAAATTGAAGAGGCCGATGAAATTGTACGTTAATTGACCTACTTTGCTCTCTTGGTTTTTTCAATTTTCTAAATTGTGTGTTTTTTTTTTCTTATAGATAGCTCAAATGGAAATGGAGCTGTTGAATTTACCACAATCATCACGCTCACGTTGTCAAGCTAAAATGAGGAGTTACAAGAGCAGTCTTGATAAATTGAAACGTGATTTGGTAAATTCTTAAATTTTAAATGAAAATAAAATGAAATATAATTAATTAATGAAATTTATATTTCTTTCATTAGAAAAGAGCAAGTTCTCGTGCTTCTGGACCAACAGATCGTGAAGAATTGCTCGCTGGTACAAATGGGACAGATCTTGATAGTGCTTCGTTAGATCAACGTGCTCGACTTTTATCTGGAACCGAACTTTTGGCTGATAGTAGTCGTAGATTACAGGACAGTCATAGAATTGCCTTGGAAACTGGTAAGACCACATTAATTGTTTTGAAGAACTTTTTTTAATTGAATTTTTTTTTTATTTTACATGATTTTGAATTTCAGAAACGATTGGTGCCAATGTTTTGGAGGATATTCGTAGGCAAAGAGATCAAATCTTACACACTAGGAATACTGTACGTTTCTCACCTATTTAAAATAATAATATTTTTATTAAAGAGATTTTAATCAATTATTTTTGTAGTTAATGGAAGCGGATTCTTACATTGATAAAGCTCAACGTACCCTCAAGGGTATGGCGCGCAGGTGGTTTATTTAATTATTATTATTATTATTATTATTTAATTAAAAGAATTAAACTGATGATTTCATGAATTTTAGAATGCAAACTAATCGTATGATCACCGCTGCTATTATTATAACACTTGTTGGTTTGATTTGTTTCGTGTTTTATGTAAAATTTTTCTAGTAATTGTATTTAAACTTGTGATTTTTACATCATTTATTTCTGGTATTATCCATGTTTCTTGGTTTTTATTGTGGACATGTCCTTTTACCTTTACGTGCAATATATATTATCATAATAAAATGTATTTTTATCCATGGTTACTGTCGATCCTGAAGTTTGTGCGACATAATCATCTACCTAATTGATCGGCGTAGACACGTGCTATAAAATTATCAAATTTTTTTTTTTCATTTTGAAATCATTAAAAAAATTATATCAATATAATGAAACCAGAAGAAGGATCAGGGTCATCAGAACAGGAATATACTAGACAAGATTCAGAAGAGGAGGAGGAAGAAGAATCAATTACTCAAAACAATCAAGAATCTGATGATTCTGATTCGGTTTCCTCTGAGGAAGAAGGCGAAGACGGTGAAGAAGTTGCATTAGACGATTTATCTGACCAAGAAATCGACGAAGATATCATACCTCAACAACATGTAACAATAAATAACAAGGTATCTTGTTTTATTTAAATTAAGGTTGTACTTTTATACCGTTTTTCCAAGTTAATCTAATCGTTTCGAATATGATATTGTCAAGTCAGCATTAAAAAAAATTCAACAAGAAATTAAACTTGATTTACCATGGATTGAAACTCAAGTGATAACGTCTTCAGAACCGATAGTCATCAAAGACATCAATAACGATGTAGAGCGTGAATTAGCATTGTAAATATTTGATCTTTTTATGTTATTATTATTATTAAAAAATATATATATATATATATAACTGAAAATTTTCTTATCAGTTATAAGCAAGCACTTGAAGCAGCTACAGAAGGACGCAAAAAAGTTGTAGAATCAGGTGTAATGTTCTCTAGACCTGATGATTATTTTGCTGAAATGGTAAAATCTGATGAACATATGACAAAAGTACGTCAAAAGTTAATTAATGAAGAACAAATGATCAAAGTAAGCGAAGATGCTAAACGCCAACGTGAATTAAAAAAATTTAGTAAAAAAGTTCAAATTGAACGTTTACAAGAGCGTCAAAAACAAAAAAGGGAAGATTTAGAAAAAATTAAAGCTATGAAAAAGAGTATGTCATTATGATTCGTTAAGGTTGTGCTTTTTAAGTGTAAACGAAAAAAAAAGTTTAATTGTTAATTATTGTTTGATGTAGAAAGGAAAGGTGTTGAAGATACGGCTGTGGATGATGATTTTGAAATTGCCCTTGAAGAAGCTGCTGCTGAAGATGATAGACCTCCGAATAAAAAGCAAAAAACTAGCAAAAAATCTAAACGCACCTATAAGGTAATTTTTAAATTTACTTCCAAATTAATTGTTCTTTAAATTTTGGAATTTGTTTCTAATCTATAATTTATTACGATGAAAAGGATAGTAAATTTGGATTTGGAGGAAAGAAGCGTCATGCTAAAACAAATACAGCCGAATCCTCTGGTGATTTAACAGTGTTTGGTGGAGGAGGGAAGCCTATGAAAAAAGTAAGCTATAAAAGTATATATATATTTGAAAGAGAATATTAAGAGAATCAAAAGATTTATCTTTATTATTTATTATTATTATTTTTTTTGAAGAAGTCATCATTTAAACCAAAGAAGAACGTTACGAAGACGCGTCCCGGCAAAGCTAGACGTCAGGCTTCAAGGAATAAAAAGCGATAGAATTAATTAATTTATTGGTTCTTGTTTTCGTTCATTGATTTAGTTTTTTATTATTTTTCATTTATCCTGAAATAATTGGATCAAGACTTGAATAAATCATAAATATCGTACTCGAAACCATTGCTTTTCATAAATCTCCTGATTAAGTTCGTATCTATTTCTGAATATGATAAAATTAGAAAATTTTAGATGAAAATTATAAAATTATAAATTATTTATTTGTCGATCTTATTTGTTTAAAATTTAATCTAAATTCGAACATCATTTTTTATTTTTGCTAAATTATCGCCGCAGCCGCTCCTTCCGATCATTGGAGATTTCATATAAAAAAACTGTAATTTAACAAAAAATATAAGTAGATTCATTTCTTTGAAATAATTAAAAGAATGAAATTCCGCTCAAAGTAACTTATCATGAGTTATGTCTTTATTGGGTAGACGTGAACGTTTGTATTGTTTGATCACCAATCACGGGCACGAATCCCTTAATGTACAAAATTGATTGAAATTGATGATGATCAATTACATCAAATGTCTGAAATTCCTTACCGCGCGCGAAGAGGATTTTTGACATTATTATGTAATTAAATCACCATTTCAATTTACTCAAATATTTTTTTTTTATCTTTATGATAGATATATTTAGTTTAGGATAAGGACTTACAATATTTTAAAGAATAGCAGTTAAAATCAAATTGAGATTGCTTGTCTAAATAAATATCTAAATCTTAAGTTTTATTAATACGATTTTGATGTAGTTTTTCCAAGTTTTACCGTTTATTATTTAGACAAATTGCTAAAACTTGTAAGTTTTATATCTTTATATCACAACTTAAGTTAAAAAATTTAGAAAATGATATTTTTATATAATAATAAAAATGAAGTGAATTGGTAAAAGATATAACTTTTAACAGTGATAAAATATATAAAGAAACATTTACTTATAATAAAAATTTTTTAATATTTTTAACTAAAAATTATTATAAATATAAAAATAATTAATTTTAAACTAAAGTATTTTAATTCTTATAATTTAAAATATATATAAATGTTACATAGTAGTTTATAATAATATTATATAACATATAGACATTCATGTTTTATTTCTTTCTTAAGCTCTACTTTTCTATTATTTTATATATTATTTAACTAACTGACCCTTTCTTATGTATTAATTTATAAAAAAAAAAAAATTTATAAAAATATATAAGTTAATATAATGCTTTATAGATTATAAAAAAAATACTATTACATAAATTTTTCCATTTTTTTTAAAATCTTGATTTTTAATAAATTTTAGATATTTGCTAAAAAAAATCATTACATATATAATTGATATAGTATATTTTTATATATCAAATTAGATTTTAATATATTATAGTAATAATAAAATTTTATATTATATAAGCAACTTTATATAATATTATATAGATCTAATAAAATTATATAAGTTATATAATTTAAATATATTATTTAATATCTTGATATTTATTTAATTTAATAAAGAATTCTAACAAAAAAAAAATTATAATATAAATAATAATAAATTTATATAATATTAAACATTAAATTAATAAAATTTTTATTATATTTTAATATAATATAATTAAATAAATTTTCATAAAAAAGAAATTAAAATTTTTTTAATAAAATTGTTATTATATAAGTTATAATTAATTTTATTCAAAAATATTTATTTTAATAAATTTAAACAAAAATAATTCAAAGATTTATTAATAAAATTAATATTATATCTAAATAATATTTACTTTTTTTATTAATAAAATTATAAAAAATATATATAATTATTTAATAAATGTTATTAATAAATTTAAGTATAGATTTCTTAACCGTTAATTATTTATTTATGAAAATATCAAATTTTTATAAATAATTATTATTATATTTAAAAATAATAAATTAAAAATTTTATTAAAATATTGTAAATACTTAAATATTATTTAATTATTTGCATTTTTAATATTAAAAAATGTAAAAAAAAATATAAATGTTTAAAATAATACTTACTAATAATTTTCTAATGATATAAAATAATATTGATCTTTAATAAAGAAGAATTAGTTACTATTTATTAAAATTTACAATATTATAGATTTATAAATATAGTTATAATATAAATTTATAATATTATAATTATTTCATAATATAATAATTATTTTACAATATAATAATTATTTTGCAATATGTTAATTATTTATTGTATCGCAATTATATTACAGAATAATTATAATATTACATAAATAATTATTATATTATAAATTTGTATTACAATTAAATAAATTATATAATATTAATCAAGATTTTTAGTAATTTAATAATTCATATGATAATGTTAATAATGCTTAATAATATAATAAATAGTATAAATATTTTTCTAATAAATAGCATTTAAACAAACATTTTTTTTCAAATTTTTCAAGAAAAAAAATGTTTAAATTCTTTAAGAAAAAACATGCTTAAATTTTTTAAATAAAATTTTTAAAAATAAATATAGATTTAATTTTATAATATACTATAAATTATTATGTAAATTATTTTTAAATTATTTCACAAAATTATTTTGCTTTTTTTAAAACCTTTTGTTTTTTTTTTTTAGTTTTCTTTAATTTTTTCTAGCTTTTTAAGCTTTTTTTACTTTAGCTTTTTTAGTTTATATTTAAATTAGTTTATTTTAACTTTTTTTTTAATAGTTATAATATTATAATATTAAAAATATTTTTTAAAATGACAGCAAACTCTGTTACAATTAATAATTTTAAAAGAGATAGATAAGCATTTTCAAACATTTGGAATCATATGTTAAAGGGTCCTAAATAATCAAAAAAAAAACATTATTCAGCAATTTGTAATAGTTGTAAATTATATATTGAAAATATGAAAAGTCTTATATTCTTCAAAAATATTTAGCTAATTATTGTAAAAAATATTCTAAAGAATTTGGATTATATTATGTAAATATTATAGGAAGAGATAAAAAAAGTATAATATTGAAAATGAATATATCTTAAGTAATTCAGATGAATTTCCTATTAACAATTTAAATAAATAGCAATGTTTAATTTTTATAAACTAAAAAAATTAGAAAAAGAAAAAATTGATGAAATAGATTATATTATTATTAAGGCATTTATAATGTCTAATATTCCATTCAGTATTATTGAAAATCTATGATTTTTTAATCTAATTAAACATTATAACTAGCATGTGATATACCTTTATATCTAGTATTAGATGGATCTTTATTATAAGTAGAATTAGCTAGAACTAATATAATAATAGAAAATAAATAAAACAAAAAAATAATTTTATTATTAGTAAGAATTATATAATTATTATATTAATTTTAATTAATAATTTAAACTAAATATTAATTAATTATTTTTTTATTTTATATATTAGTTTTAGATAGATAAATAGATTCTCACAATAATAATATTTAGGTTTTTTTCTTTTTAACCCCTTCAAAAAAGAATATCTTTTATAATTATAAAATATTTCAAATATATAGAGGGTATTTAAAAGTTTTCAAATAACTTATTTGATAATAAATAACTATATAAAGAATAATCAGCATTTAGTATAAATATTATATTTACATATAATATCATAAATTACTTGATTTATTTATTTTGTTATGCTTCACAAAAAAATAAGAAAAAAATGAATTAATATAAAATAATGTGAGGTGATATTTTATTGTTATCAACATGAAGATTTATATTAAAAAATTGTTAAAACTATTAGGTGTAAAAAATCAAGTTTTTAATACATTAAAATGATATAATAAAACTAGTTTTATAAATTCTAAATGTTGATCTAGATGACTATATTTAATTAATAATAATTAGCATAAAGGTTTAAATATTTAATAATAAATAAAAAACACAAAACTGATGATTATATACTATTTATATCAGAATAAATACAGGTAGTGATTTTGGTAGAGAAAAGCATAACTAAGTATTAGTTGCATAATATAAAATGTAGAGCTTATTATATTCTAAATAAAATATTAATTAAGCTTTGAAATTTATGCATTAAAATTTTTTATTATATTTTTAAGTGAAAAAACATTCAGAAATTTTTGGGTATCCTCTATATATCATGATATATAAAATTTATTTAATATTATTTTTGATATAATTTAACAAATTGACGTAGATAAATTTGTGACAATTGTTTTAGATAATTCTAAAAATATAGCAGCTATCAGATACAGTAAATAGTAGTTCAAAAATATCCAAATATAATTAATATTAGATATATTACGTATTATATTAATTTGATAAGTTCAGACATTGTTAAAATAATATAAGTTGAATATCTTATAAAATGTTATAATATACTGACAAAATTTTTTAAAATTCATATATTATTAGATAATAGTTAAAGAAGACTATTAATTTAAAAGGTATTGATGAAGAAAATTTAAAGATATATATTAAAACTTGTTAAATAATAATTTATAAATATGTTGCTTTTATGTAAAGATTTAAAGAAGCTTTACAATATGTATATTTATATTTTATAATATTTGTTTTTATAGTAATTTATTTAATATATATTTAAATAAATATAAAAATAATTTGAATTTTTAAAACTCTTTATTTAATTAGGTATTAAATTATTATAAAAATAAAATTAAAAATGATTCTTTAAATCAATATTAAGAAAATGGGTTTTTTTTAATAATGTTAGAAATTTATCAGAAAATTTTAAATTAATTAAAGATACTATATTAGCATTAGAAGGTAAAAATATTATTTTAGTAAATTGCTATCTGTAACTACTTAGAATAGCAGCATATTTTAAAATAAACATTAAAAAATGCTTGCATTTAAGCTTTAATAAAGGTATAATTATATAATTATTGTTTAATATTACTTTTAAATTTATTATTATACTAATATTTAATTTATATTTTTTAGATATCTAGAATTTGATGATGATATTTATCTTTTAGTTTTTTTTTTATTCATA